GAAAGAGTGGCTGGGAAAACCTCAACAGAACTAACAGCTCTGTGAGAACACAGCAGATAAGGGATTGAATTATCTCAAGAATGATAGAAGCACATTAAAATTTCTGAATAACTTTCTGCATTACAAAGGCAGTTTCACTGTTGTCTGGGCTTAGTAGGTTGTACTTGTTTAGATCTACAGTACCTGATGCCAGAACAGAGCCTACAACTCAAAATTAACAAAGACACATGGGCATGATCTTCCTCAGACTTACTTTGACATTTTGGGTTTCTTCCCCATACCTCTATGTGCACATAACCAGACACTGCAGAGAAGCCCATCTCAAAAAGCTACTTGCACCAGCGCTGATCTCCAAGAGCTGATTTTGTAATTTCTCCCACTGCTTTGTTACCTACCATTCAGGCTAACAGTGAAATGCTGTCCCACTCTTGATTCCCCACCCTTTCCCTTGTACATGGGAGACATGGAGCTAATCAGCCGGATGAGAAGGCATCCATCATTTGACTGTACTGTGGTGGGGCATTAGTCCAGAACCCAGACACTGTCCTAAATCACCAGCCCGAGCTCTGTGAATGTTCACCATCACATTTGCTTGATGCCATGACTGGACCTCTCATCTACAAGTACTCTACTAGTTTGCCTTAGAGAAGGTTCAAACTGGACTGGAGTTATCCACAGAGAAGTTACCCAGAAGTACAGAAGTTACAAGAAATTAACCAGACAAAGCACAGCTCCATGTTCTACAGCATCCCAAAGCACTAAATGCCTTCTCTGTTCTGTAACGTCTATGCTTTAGTTTTCATCTTTGTAATCATGTTTCCCTCTATTTCTTTTACTTAGATCATAATACAGCACCTTCGTCCCACATCAAAAAGACCCCAGCACAGTCTCCTGAGGTCTCAGTAGGACAAAGACAGAGTTAAGTGTACTCCTAAGTTTTCAGTGTCAAAGCTCACCAGGATCACAAAGCTACATCATACAGACCTCATCGTAACGGTACATCATTTTCAGTCCCCGACAAGACTTCTGTTTTTCCACATGCCGCAGGGCACACTCCAAGCAGAAGACAACATTTTCATTCTCCTGTACGACCTACATAAAAATGCAGGGGTAGGTGGGAGAAGCACAGTAAGCCCCAAATTGTAGCCATGTTACGCACAGAGTATTGAATTACTGTCTGGGATATTAAACCTGTATTTTACTATAAGTTAGAGGCATAAACAGGAAGTATTACACATTGTGAAATGATTCAAAATGTATAAGAAGAACGTACATATCCCTTTCTGAGTGCTAATGTTGGCAAATACATATGATTTATAAAAAAAAAAGCACCAATAGCAATGCTGGCCAAATCCGAAGAGTGATATATGCATAACTATCTAACACATAGCCTAAAGATTCCCTGAAAGCAGCCATTTCCCATTACTTTAAATGTTGTCTTGAATAAGGATAAAATCAGAAGCTTAGCCACAGGATTCCTCAGCTACCGTCTTATTCAGCAGAGGTCACATTTGCTCAGCTGGCCATCTGCCAAGCCTACACATTCCAGTTGGAATTTGACAACCAAGTTGATTTTTTTTGGTCCCTTCCTTACTACTGTTTTAAAAGCATGACAAGGAAAAATCCTTCCCTTGATTAGACTTACTCCAGAGCAAACAGGCCAGAATTAAGAGGGTTTGGTTGGTTATTTTTTTAAACAGGCTCATTTTAAAGTGACTTCAAATTAACGCTGCTTAAACAGCCATCCAAAGACATCTATAAACTGAGCGTATTCTATCTTAGGGGGGGAAACAGCTACATCTGACCATTTAACAGTTACATTGTCCTTCCATCAAAAATCTGACATTAATAACCAAAAAACCCCCAAAGATGACAGAGTAATTGGAATATGTCCAGAATATGGACTTGCACATACTGTATTATGTTTATTTAAATATCTGATCTTGGAATTAAGTGGTACTTGAGGTTGTGGGAGGAGGTTTTTTGATATTTTGAATTAAATTGCTGTATTTCTAGGTGTACTGCATACAGCTGAAAACCTGGAAGTGTCACCACAGTGCTTAGCACACCTTCAACAGCCAGTAGGCAATTACGTGTAAAAAGAGAGAAAGTTTATGGGCATGAATTCTCTTTCTGAACAGACAGGTTGGCAAACAGCATCTTAGCTTGACAGACAGAATACATCTACCCTGCAATTTGTCTTGCAGGGAAATTGTCGCAGCACAGGCTGTAGCTGCATGCCTGAGACTCGGGGCACATATTTGAGTTTCTAGCTCATCCCAGGAACTGTTCTGCCATGACTTACAACTACTGGCAACCAGCAGGTGTCTTTGTTACCTCTCCCAGTGCAGTGCAGACATTCAACTGAGTGACTAGTTCACCCCTTCTTTACAGGGGGAGGGAAGCTAGCTGACACTAACTGTTGTCTTCTGTCACTGCTGCCCAAGGCAGTAAATCGGCATCTCTGCGTCTTGTGTGGAGTGCATGAGATGACTCAGTAGTCATCTCCTGTCTCTCAAATGCTTATAGTCCATTACAGTACCTTACAACAGGGGGGACAGTACCCCAGAGGCGGCAAAGGACTTTACTCACCATGGAAAGGTAGCACAGGTGCTGACAAATCTGACATCTCCTCTCTGACGTTTCTAACTGCAACCACTTTCGAGGCTTTTTCTTTCCATCCATCCCTGCGCTGCTGCTGT